GTGTGTGTGTGTGTGTGTGTGTGTGTGTGTGTGTGTCCTCAGAGGATTTGTCTGGATATAATTCTTTCCAAAGGGAGTTGAGAAAATTCCACACGAACATATCCCTAAGTACACCCCATTAGAACAGTACAGTTGATTAGTATTTAATATCCATGGGGAAGTGTGGATTCCATGGTCAAATAATTCTGGAAAACACTGGGGTAAGCAAAGTGAAACAGGACTGCCAGATACATAAAGAGGATTGTCATAGATAGTCAGATATAATTTTGCAAGGTAGCAGTATGTACGTAAAACTGAATGATAGAGGACATTTCTCTAACTGGAAAACATTTTCTTCTCCTCAAGAGTATCTTAAAGGGCCAGTGGAATCACTTTTTTTTTTCCAGTTGCATTTACTTCTAAGATAGCTCCAATGCTGCATTAAGTGTTCATGCACCACGAGAGATCACGTTAGAATATCCCGTTGCTACCTCTGAGTATAAAACATTTTAATAAGGAAGATTGGGGGGGGAGGGAAACCAAAGATCGGCATAATAAAATCCTAGATTCTATGAGACCAGCCTTCAAGTCCACTTCGTAGCAGTATCTAAATGTCATGATTCTCGATTCTCGGCCTAAGTAAAAGTCAAATGAAAAAGCAGATGGGACAAATAAACAGGAAAAAAATATCTCCATGAGATTAAACTTCACCCCATACTGTCTCTTCTCCAAAATAAAAACAAGTGGAATTAATCAACGGCCAATTCAGTACTCTAAGCTTCATTTCTACTTACAAAGTCACAGTCACTCAATTGTACCCTCACCCTTCCTATAATCGTTGTGAGCAAGTAAAAGTAAGTCCACTTTTATAAAGGAATTAAGTTCTCTATAATCTTCATTCTAATGAACTGTCTCCAGGAACAAGCAGGGTCATCTTGTGGTTGAGAGAGTGAAACACCGTGCACGAAAATCAAGCATGAATCCTTGAGGATGGGGATTGGAAGGACAGCGGGGTGGGTGGAGAAAGAGAACTCTCATCAGGCAAACAAAAGAAAAGGAGAGAACTGGGTTCCGTTCCAAGGACCTACCGTTCCGTCCCCTCCACAGGCCAGAATTCGCAGATTGGGAACTTTCCTGTACAGCTCGAGCCTGCGGGGGAAGAGAAGGCGTCGTGAATAATGGTGCACGACACTGACCGTCGCAGCAAGCAGCCCTTGGCTACAGAGGGTAGGGCGGGGTGTCCATGGGGAAGCCGCGGCGTCATGAGGGCTGTACTGGAGCACGGGAGGACGGCCCCCACAGCCGGGGCAGAAGCTGGCGGTGGACATTTCAAGGTGAGCCTCAAGTGGGGGTTTGGGTGTCCTGGAGCTTCCTACTAATGGGCTGAGTTACTATTTTCCATATGGGCTGTGACTTGCTCCTTCTTCTTTTTCAGTCTTTCTCCTTTTATTCTCAAAAACAACCAAAACCGCCAACAAAAAGCCCTGGAATTCCTCCCAATAAAAGGTAATCCCCTTCCCAGAACAACGAATTTCCAAAACCGGTCCCCCCAACCCTAAACCCGAAAAAACCTTCCCAAAAGCAAGGGGAAAACCAAACGGCAAGAACCCCCAAGTTCCACTGCCTCTCTCCCCACTCACTGGTACCCCGCCCCCATTTACATTCCTGAATTGCAGCCACTAAGTATGCTGAATGAAGCTGTTCATAACTCCCTTTTAGAAAACATCACCTGTTCAAAGCAAACAGTATGTTCCTGAAAATATTTTCTTCTTTCCATGTCCTTAATGACCTACAAAGTGTCTACATAAAGTCTAAGTAAAATAATAACATTTAAATAAAGTATGCACAAGGGCAAAATCCAGAGTAGCAGATTTGCCTCAGAACATTTAAATACAACGTTTAAATACAGCTGAAAGGCATAGAGCAAACTCTAGTGGCAAATTCACAGACTGAGAAAACGGCAGAAATTAACTTCTAAGTTCAGTGTTTTGCTGAATGCCTAAAGTATGCCATGATACATTTCAACCAGGAATGTCATTTCTCCAGAAACTGTCTGAGCTGTGTTTCTTTGCCCCAATATTGCTATTTATCTGAAAATATCTGGTAACTTAAATTATAATATTTATGACACACAAACTCTCTTAATACATAGGTGTCCAAACAAGAATCAGACAACAGCAGAAACGTCTGTTCTTAACGACCATGAACCTCCAAAGAGGAGGCCCAGGGGGATGTCACCTGTAGCTAAACTTCACTTCCACACTTCTCACAAAAATAGGCACAAAAAGTGTCTAAGAAGCTCTGAAAAGGGGTCAAGCAGCAGTTAAAATGTCTCCCCCACTCTGGTGTGGAGTCTATAGCTGCAATAAATCCGTCTCTGCCTCAATGCACATGAACGTAAGCCTGATTCAAAGACACAGACATACTCATAAAAAGTACAGCCCCTCTACACACAGATCCACTCTGCTCACAGGACAGCACATGTCCAGTGCTGGACATGCACACAGGGTCCAAGGCTTGCCCACCAACTACAGTGCAGGTCTAGAAGCAACAGTGCATTAACGGTGCGTTAATGACTGAGAAGCGAGTTCCAGAAATCAACCCAGTCCAGAGGGAAACAACAGGTGAAGCTTTAAAAGAGAGTACAGTTGAGAAGGCAGATCAGACACGTTCAGGAAAGACTTCAGAGTAGTCAGAAAACGAAGCTTGGCTCCAGACGGAACAGCCTTCTCACTAGCCTACAGGGTATGTCCACAGAGATGGTCCCAGACTTACGCATCTTTTGGTCCTTCCTGAGAAAGATCGAAGACTTGCCTCGGATTCAGGTACCACATGAACATCTGCAGGACTTTGGTTCCCTGTGAGGGAACAAATGACAACAGGAAGAAGTTTCCAAATGTTAGCTGCTCATGTCTGCTGCTCATGTAAAAATAAAGTCTGTTATCCAGTATGGTATCTAATTATAAAAAAAGAGTTAATTTAAATCATGGGTTTTGGCTTTTAACATAAGTCAAATGCCCAGGTTAGACGTTTGTCTAACGTGAAATTCTGGGCTAGTTTCTTAATGTCGTTAAGCTCAGCTCTCTCCTCTGACGCAGACGAGAACATCTAGTTCTCGGTTCGCTGTGACGACTCCTCGCCATGATGCCCGAGGACTACATGGCGCTTGAGCTTGCAGTCAGTGCTTCATCTACAGCATCTGCTGTTTTCCGCATCGTGACCTACATGAAATCCCGTGTAAGAAGTTGTCAGGAAACTTAACGCAGCTTAACATCAATTTTTACATCTGCCTCTTTGCCTAATGTGAATGTGGACGGTAGTCACTAAGGATGATTTTATCAAACTAAGTGTGGAGCTGCCGCTCAAGTCCGCAGGCTCCCTGTAATCTATAATAGATGCATGTGTTTCCTCTATGTAGTGGCATCAAATCTCACTTTGACGATTTTCAATTTCCATGTCTGCACCTATGGGTCCACACAAACATTTCTCTCATGTAAACATTTCTGTGTTTAAGTAATTGAGACATGTTCGAGCTGATCACTGTGGAAAACACGAGGCAGCTGTGGAGATCACTTCTCAAAGCGCATTGACTAAAAAGGACACGAAAGAAACATCTTGGGATTAAGCAGCATCAGAAGAGCCATGGCGGTAAGTAGGTTATGAACCACAGCCAGTGAGATCTGATCTGACGGATGGAGTTTGTTGCCTCAGGGTAGTTCCTGTATTAGATATTAGATGTTCTCAGAACATCCCAAGCCCATATGCCTGCCATGAGTAGTTGAGAGGACAGGGTAAACAGAATTATCAAGCTTTTTGCACCACTGGCCTCTGCAGCTGTCACATGTGGTCATGGTAGCGCACAAGGTACTAGGGAACGTGGGTGCCCGACTGTGGACGCCTGCAAGATGGCCGTGTACGCAAGTACACGTGCGTCGGTGCACGCATGCGTACACCGTGCATGCATGCTTGCGTCAGTGCACGCATGCGCCTGGAGGTCTTGGCGATGAGGGCGGCGTCAGAGAAGGGCGCCGCAAGAGGACGAGTGAGCACAGGGCAGGCGAGACCATGAGAGAACGCCAGAGAGGGCCCGGAGAGAAAGTAAGGTTTGCAGAGGGCCGGGAGGCTCAGCTGTCTGTCTGCGTCCTGCCCGCTCCGCCGCCCCACCTACCTGTGCTGGCTGGTACTCCAGAGGGTGACCCTGTACCGTAAGGGAGCACCACTTGGAGCCAGTGAAACTGTCACCCAATAATTTGGGTGTTCTAACTGGGTGGTCAGGAGCGCTGACAGTGCTGCGGAAGTTCGGCATACAAAGTAGGAGGCAGTAGCTACTTTTCTGGGTGATTATGAGAATTAAATGAACCGGTAATGGTTACGTATCACAGTACGTGGCACGAAATAGAACTGTGCATTTTAGTCGTAATGTACATTTTAGGACTAAAATGTAGTCGTTTTTGCCGCTTGTTAATCTGTTCATTGGATTACCCTGGAGGGTGTGAAGGCTAAAGTGTAGTTTATAATTATCACATTGTTATGTCAGCTGTTGAAGAGGCCAATGCAGGTCCTTTGTTTCACATTTCATCTAAGCCTATAATTTAAAAGTTCTGCATTATCGTGTGCTTGCTATAAATTTAGGAATAACAGTCTATCCTTAATTATCACAGCTAATCCTTCAGTTCCGCCAAACGACATATTTTGCTGCCTGGCCGATTCAGAGAGATGGAGAGTTAGCACTAACTAAACACTGGCTCATTCTCGCGCTCCCTATCAGGGACCTTGCTAGCAGGTCAGTCAAGGGCTATCTTTATATTTTCTAGAGAACACCAGAGTCGTTTTAATAATTAAATAATTTTTAAATTTCCAACTGACTGGCTAGAAAATTAGCTTCTGAGTTTTACATTTCTAGAGCAACAGAATGGGTCGTTGTAACTACTGGCTATGGTGGAATGCCTTTCTCAGTAAGCAATTGTCACCTTTCAAAAATAAAAAGCATTAAGAGGTTGTTTTTGTTAATCTAAAATTTCTCTAAAAGGTTTGTGTGGCCACACCCTATTGTTTTTGCTCATTTTCAATTTGTGTTTGTTGGAACCCTAATTACCTTATTTATCCTTTTGCAGAAGAGGTATGAATGAAGGCTGGCAAGGCTCACATGGCCGACCTCCACGAGGCTCCTTTCACACTGAGTCTGTGGGAGTCGTGTCCCAGGGCTGCGCGGCACTGACTCACACAGCCCTGCATGGCTATCAGACTTAATGGCCAGACGCGATACCATTATTTCAAAAAGTGATCTTTCTAAAATACATCCATTAGGAAAAGTGGTAATTGGATGAAAGCATTGTATTATTTTAAATCAGTCCTGCGGGTGGAGAAAAAAGATTTAACACCCTCTTGAGTTCTGTTAATTCCACCCTTACCTCCAGGAGAAGCTTCTATAGAGCTCTGATAGAGGTAATTTATTCCATGGCACTGCATGATGGTCCAACAAATCCTAACTCACCAGGGAGAGTAATTTCTTGCTTTTTCATTGGCAGATTAAACCTAATCAGTCATTAACACAACTGTCAGAGTTGAAACAAACACCCTCAGAGTTGCACAAGCGTAAAGTCAGATTGCAAAAAAAAAAAAAAGCAAAGTTAGTGAAAGACTCTAGTTCTGTCTAAATGAAAAATAAAAGTGTACTCTGAACTCCACTACCCCCTGGAGAGGGTTCTCAGATCTATAGCTATGGATGTCTAACTTCACGGACCACAGAACCTCACAAGCGATTGTGAGTGGGCATCCCTTGTGTGGTGTAGAACATTCTTTCCAGCTTCAGGTGTTGGGAAACACTGTGGGGCAAGAGAATATATCTTGCCAAGAAATAGGCAGAATGTTCTAGAGGGAAATGAACAGGATTCATCCATTCACCTTCCACAGCCCATGCACAGTTTTAGGTAAAGGAATACAGAGATGGACAAGACAGAAAAGATCTTGCTTTCCACAGCAGTTCTATGCATTATTCAGAAAAGAAAATATGGTGACAATGACACGGAATGGGGAAAATTATTAGGCATGAGTCAGCTCACACAGCATCTCCATCTACCTCACAGCAAGGTAACTCCTGTGGAGATAATGGGAAGTCACTAAGCTCGCCTTGGTTTCTATCATGTAGGAAACTTCTAGACCATGGAAGGAACAACTGCCAGACAGTAAGAAAGGCTTAAGGAAAATAAAAACCAGTGGGAGACAGAGGTTAAAATGAAATCATTTCAAACCAGATCCAAACAGCTCCCAGGTACACTGCTGAGAGGTGCAGCAGGCGGGACAGGAGAGGTCTGCTGCACCACATGGGTCAGCTCCCTGGCCGGGAAGCGAACCGCTATTGCAGTGGCTGTGGAGAGCTTGACAGCACTGAGGCTTACCCCTGCGCCACCAGGGAGGCCCTCTTTTTCTTATTGAATGGGACTCAGCAGTTTGTTTTCTGTGGGCTACTGCAGTTACCAGTTTTCCTCAACTATGCCACTCACAACTTTGTGAATTCCAGAAACGTGAAACCAGTGTGGTCTGAAACTGAAGACTGAGCCCTTTCACTGAATGGCGTATACCAGAGGTGTCCGTTAGGGGCAAAACGGCTGAAGGAGTTTACCACTTCTCTGCAGTCTGAGGAGGAAGAGGTTTCAGGGGAAAGACATGAACAAAGCATCAACAAGCCACGGGAACCTACGTCGCATTCGGCCTCAAAACCTGAGGCAGGCGTGGTGATGAAGCTGCTCGAAGCCAGCCAGGGAGAGGTGCACTGAGCGGCCTGTGCCAGGAGCCTGTGCTTCACAGGAAGTAAGAGCCGCTGCAAGTGGGGCTTCCCTCATGTTGCAAACACCTGTCAAGTGTAGGTTCTCAGGAACTTCATGTCGATGGTGACATAAAGGTCTTTCCCTCAGGAAATTTTGAAGTGGGTTTTGGAGAAACAGATACCTGCTTGCATGTCTCTTGATTCCTTCACTAATATCTGCATTTATTTGCTTTTTAAATGAAACCCATATTTTGGCTATCACTTTAATATGTATCTACTCGGAGAGTCCGTTTAAGTGCCATAGAAGTTTTTTGAATTGCTGTTTCCTACTAATGGTGACTATCGTGGGCAATGATTATTGAATCCATTTAATGAAAGTAAAATGATTCTCAAATTAAATGTGATAGATACTGGAATAAGTGTTTTTAGAGCTCCCTCAAAAAACAAATTTGCATTCTCAAAGCATTCTAAAAATATTTTTAAAGCTGTCTCAGAAATCCAGGTGGCTTTTCATAGGTAAATTCCTATTTTGTCATATGCTGCATTTTTATTCTTTTCATCGTGAATGATGACATTTACACACAATAAAAATTCAAATCAGGGCCCTCCCTGGTGGCACAGCAGATTAAAGCACAGCACTTAGAAGCTAAAGCCACCTCAGCATGAGTTTGATCCCTGCCCCCAGGTGGCCACATGGTGCAGCAGACCTCTCCTGACCTACCCCCTGCTCCCCTCAGCAGTGTACTTTGTCAACCTGCCTGTTCTGCTCCCCACTCTGTCTCTGGTGAATCCTCTCACTGCCCCTGCACTTCTGGCCTGTACCCCAGTTCTGTATGCATAAATAAATAAATCTTTAAAAAAAAATTCAAATCAGAAAACAGGGGTTTTCTGAAATATTTTAAACAGAGCCATGGAACTGACATTTTGATACCTCAGTGTGACTCCAGGAGAACTGGCTGGGCACCCAGATCAATCTGGTGGGGCCAACGGGTGCACCCTCATGAATGGGGTCAGTGCACATATAAGACCCCCAAGAAATTCTGGCCATTTCTTCTGCCATGTGAGGACACAGCGAGAAGAGGGTCATTGCTGAACCAGGAAGAGGGCCCAAACTGGACACCACATTGGTGGGGACCTTCAGCTTGGACCTCCAGCCTCTAGAATTGTGAGGAAAATTTTCCGTAGTTTTCCAGCCACCCAGGCTCTGGCGTTCTGTTAGTGCAGCCGGTGCAGACCAGGCCAGCGGCCTCCACCCTCCCCAGCAACAGAAGTGAGGCAGGGAGGGGCCTTCCCACAGATTCCCCGTGCGCTGTCCTGAGTCCACCTTTTGAGGCTTCTGTGATGGGAAGATCTTGTCTGTGCTTGTGAACTGCCCCCGGCCCACCCACTCCCCAGCCTCTCCTGAGCATCAGGAGCCTAAAATTTCATCTAAACAATGACCTTTCACTATTCCAGGATTGAGCTTTGCAGAAAATAACACCTTCACTGAGGTGGTTTGCCCAGTATTTAGATATAGCTTGGGGGCTCAAACCTTACATGTAAAATTATTTACTCTCTTCACCTCCCCCTTCTCCCCCACCCGCCATGGCTGATTTGCCCTGACTTAGGAGGGTGCCCTGGGCTGGGAAGTCTGTCCACAGAGGGGCCGCGAGCCCGCTCAGCACGGGCCTATCCACAGACCAGTCGCCCCTTCCACTTATCCCAGGCGACCAACGCCCCCTGGAAGGTCCAGTGCAGGGAGCCGACTCACAGCACCAGCACTGGGATTCACAGTGAGCTGTGTGAGGAGGAGCAGGGTCTGACATTAGGGTCAGAACACCCGCTCAGAGATGAGGCCGTAGAGAGTGTGAGCTGGGGATGGTATGAACACAGAGTCGTGGGGATCAGAAGGGCCTGGGCCCTGGTAGAGAGATGTTAGTAAGCAGATGGAGGAGGGGATCCAAGAAAAACCCCAAGTTCTGAGGCTAGCGAAGATATCATATAAAGCTAACATTTCCACAGAGACGGGGGTCACACGGGAACAAACAGACCAGCTCTTCCCTGGGGAGTGACACTGCATTGAGGCTATGGTCCATGAATCCAGTGCCTGTTCCCGCAAATAATCCGAAACCAAATCCTAATAGCAGTGCCATCGACTGCTCAAGCTTTGCAGAATGCCCAGAACCATCTTTACTTGCAGGCCGAGGGAAACAGAGTTACTGTGAAAGCGGTGTTCAAAAGAAAGGATTGGTTCAAGGGGTCGTTTAAAAGAGAAGCAGAAGCATCCTAAATATGTTCATCCCAACACACTTGTGCAGGGTATTGGGAATTCTCCCTATTTTCATGAAATAGTGTGTGAATTTCTTAAAATCTATAGGAAATTTCCTGCCAGCAGATGGCAATATAGGATAGTGCGACGTGGACAGAGTAAGCGCTAAGCAAGTTGGAAAAAAGTCTGCAGTTATGAAGCTCAAGAAGTTTTAAAAAGAGATGAGAGATGACAGTGCTTTATATCTAGAAGCAGATGAGTAAAATAAATAGCTGGGTTTTGGTTCTGGGCGTTCTGCAAAGCTTTGGCAGTGGATGGCACTGCTATTAGGGTTTGGTTTTGGATTATTTGCGGGAACAGGCACTGAATTCATGGGCCACAACCTCAATGCAGTGTCGCCTCCCCAGTCAAAGGAAAATCAGTACTTAGCAAGAACATGTTCTGGATCACAGCAAGCCCTTGCGCATCAGTGTGTTCTCAGCACGGTGCACCCCCACCCCGACGACACCCCGTGTGCGCGCACACACACATACTCTCAGAGTCAGAATCAGCACTCTACCAGGACTCCCCAAGTGATTCAAGTGCAAATTAAAGCTTGAGAAGAAAAGTCCAAGTTTTCCAATACTGGCAACACACACGAAAATAGCTGGTGCATCTAGGCTAGCGCAAGTGTTCTAACTAAACTAGTTGCAGTTAGTGTGGGGTAGGACAGACATCAGCCTTTCAATTGGCGTTGGACATGAAAAATCACAGACACTTCTAAGTTAAACTCATGAAAAATTACTCACCTGATTGCCTCCGCTCTTGGGGTTCACAAACACAAGTAAGGGTTTCATGAGAGGAGAAGAGATAGGTTTTATCACAAAAGGTCGACCTTTGTTTTCCTGCTAAAGAAGAAAAGCAAAGCTGGTGAGACACACGTCCCTGACTTGCAAGGAACCCCAAAGCCCAGGACAGGAACCACCAACACTGCCATGTCCCCCCAGCCTTGCAATGAAGAACAAAAACAGTATGTCCCTGCTGTCTTCATAGGGCTGCTCTCAATTGGACACTCCATAAAAAGCTTGGAAGTATTTCAAGCTATCATTGGCCCCCGAGAATTAAGCCAGGCGTTTGGTTTTTCTCTGTATATGTTCAACATACTACAAACGTCAGCTTTTATCTTCCTCTCCGTCATCTTCGGGGAAGTATTGCCAGACACGTGCAAATGCTCTCACTCCGAAGGGGTAGGAGGTCACACACGCTCATGCTCACACTCACCCACGCGGACTAGACACATTTCCAGAGTGCTCAGAGGACAGTGGAAGAGAAAGTGGCCGGAGGCTCGTAAGAAAGTAATGCTTGGGCCAGATGGCAACATCGGACAGAGGCAGCTAAGGGTTCAACACTTACTTCGGTGCCTCTTTTACTGGCTTTTCTCTTAAAGCTTGTTCTCTTCTTCTTCCGATTTGAAGCCTTCAGGGAGTTCTGTCGGGGAAAAAGGTCATGCCTGAGCTCAGAGGCAGACAGCCCGTGTGCTCCCCATGCAGAACCATGTAGAAGATGAGGCGGCACATGCTTTTCACCGCATGCTTCTCATGCTTTGACACTTCCAAGCCACCGGTCATGGGTAAGCCACAGACAGATCAGTCGAGTGCTTCAGAGTGAGCAACTGACTCCCCACCACACGGAGAGGCAGGGAGTTAGAACCCCGGAGGCTCTCATGGACTCACATAACAACACATGTTATACCTGCCAACCCTCCCAGTAAAAATGGAAGAATCCCAAATTCTCTGAGGGGCTCCAGTCTCCCGCCCAACCAGGTCCGTCTCCCGCCCAACCAAGTTCAAGTTCATCTCCTGGTATGGAGATCACCTATGTGGAAATGTAAAAAAGGAGGCCATTTTTCATGTTCTTTTTGTTGTTTTTTCTCTGCTTGTTCTTTATTGATTTGGCAGTGACCTGCTCTAGCAATGATCATAAAGTAATTCTTGATCCCAAGGGAAGTCTATCCTACTCGCACTGACAGCTGAGTTTTAAAGTTCAGGGCTAAGACTCACCTAGACCCGTGGGATGGCCAGGATACTCCTCCTTTCTCTTACCACGGGTCTGAAATTCTTCCCTCCCCTAGTAGCCTTGACTTTTTCTTCTCACAGATGTGCCTCCAATTTGAGGAAATACAGTGACCCCCCCAATTTACTTTCCCTGTCTTTCTCTTTCTAGAATTTTTTGTGATTACTTCAACTGTTTATTCTTAATATTGGATACAGATGCACTGGCAAGAACCCTTTCAGAAGACAGTCACAACTCACTGGCTAAAGACATGCAAGAACAGATCTTATTAAGGGGGTGTCATTAATTAATCAGATTGCCACCTTCACAAAGGCGAAACATTACTGACCACATAACAGCTATTTAACAAACTGCTGAAAACTCGAAGTAGAGAATTCCTAACTTAAAATCTAATATAAGTATTTTTCAAACATGAATAGACTTAGATATCTGTTCTCCTTTTTAGGGTAATCTTCTTTCTTAGAACATCCAAAAAAAAATAAAATAAAAACCCTTTGATATACTTTATATCAATACATCCAAACTAGCAAAAGCCGAACTATTTAGCTTTTATTTTGATTTGGAACATGAAAAAAAAGTTAGTTGGGCTCGCGCTCACCAAGGCTAAAGGAAAACTTCTGGAACCACCATGTGTTACAAAGTTTTCATTCCTCAACAGATTAAAAGCAAGTCTAGAGCCTCTGACTCTTTCCAATAAAGAGAGCCCAGAGCTCATGACCATTCTAGACCCCAGGTCATTTCTCATCACTCACTCTTGACTATGTAGTTGACCCCTGAAGAACTTGGGTGTTCGGGGCATTGAAAGCCTTCATGTGGGAAAATCCATGTCTTATAACAGAACTTTTGGAAAAGGGAGTTCTGCACCAGGGAATTCAACTCCAGGCGTCAGTGGCTGGCAGAATCCATGAATGCAGAAGCCTCCATAGAAAGTGCCCCACCTAAGGGATGCTCTCAGTTCAAGCCCATTTTGCTCAAAGGCCAGCTGTGGTGATCCCTGCAAATGGATCACCAAGTTTCAGAATTCCTCTTTAAGTGGCTCTATTGATGTCCCTCTGTGGGGAAACATTTGCATTATCTACTGCATTTTGACAACTTCCAGTTTGTTTGAAGGGAAGAAAAGTGACTTATAATCTTTAAATACAGAATCAAACGACCCAAGAAGGATGCTGGAAACTCCCAGGCCGGCAGAAGCAGTATCTATTTGACAGGAAGTAATGATGTCTGGGCAATTCTCAACCTTCAGTGCACACTGACATCACCCAGAGAGCTCTTAAAAATGCTGCCACCTGGACCCCATTAAATAGCTCACTCAGTGTGTCTGGGGTGAAGTCCAGTCAAAGGTAATTTTTGAAAAGCTTCCCAGGTAATTGTACAGGGACCTAGGGTTGCGATCTACTCTTTGAGACAGCAAGGGCAAAGCGAAGAAACAGCTATTCTGTGAGGCAGAGGGTTCCACAGCCCAGGAGTGAGCCACGGAGTCAGTGCAACCTGACAGGCTGCGTGTGAATTCTGGGTCTCCTGTCACTAGATTGGTGACCTTGGCCAAGTCAAACATATGAAACAATGGTTTCTTAATTTGAAAATGAAGGTGAAAGTACCTACCTCCCAGGATAGTGGTGAAGTTAAAGGAGATAAAGGTATGTGAAGCAGTTGGCCTGGGATCCAGCTCATGATAAACACTTCCATAAATGTGAGTTGCCTCGTTCACAGCTGATTATCCCCAGCACCTAGCACAGACGCCTGGCACATAGCATGCACTCAAATCATCGTAGAAATAATGAATCAGTGTTATCATTCACAACACTTAGTGAGTCCTGATTTTTTGAAAATCAGGGCATTAGTGAAGCTCATTTTTTTTTATTGTTTTTGTTCATTTGATGCCAAGAGCAACACTGGACACCAAGGGACCAGTGCTTATGGGAACACACTATGGAGTTCTTGGTTCTTGAAAGGGATCGACAATTACACTTCAAGAGCTCGGCCTAGCAGATCAGGCTCGGACTGGTTCCTAAAGTTACGTCATTAGAGAAACTATAGTTCTTTGTGTGATTCTTACGAGCAAGCACACTTGGGAAACAAAGGTAGAAAAACACATCAAAATAAGGTTTGATGTCCAAAAACAGAGCAAGCAAGGAACTCCAGTCTAATAGGGAACAGACACACACAACAGCCTTTTTAAACACAGATGTAGCAAATACAAGGGCTTCTGAGCCTCACCGAGCCAAGTGCATCTGAGGCTTTCTTCATCTCACAGAACAAGAATGGGGCAAAGATCAAGCACAGAGGTTGACTTACAGTACCTGGACGCTTCTATGTGAGTTCTGAGTAAGCTTACAGCCCTACGGATAGTCAAATGGCAAGAGATAAGTAGTATGGAATTTCACAGCATACCTCAAATTCTGGAGACTTCATTCTCTTTACGTGTAAACGTGTATCTCTAACCAGTATATTGCTTCTTCCGGAAGGTGGGACTGACGGATGTGACAGTAGATCTGGGTTGTGTTTCCCTGTGTCAAGAATGTCACCTACTGTGCTAACCTACAGCACTCGCCTGCCCAAGTCAGTATTTCTGGAAGGGTTAAAACAAGATCGCTGGGCCCCCCCTGCTGGGGCAATGGGTTAAAGTGTAGCACTGTGAAGCCTGCCACAGCCGCTTCAGCATAAGTTTGATCCCGGGCTGGGGAGCTGGCCAACACGGCACAGCAGACCTCTCCTGTCCCGCCCGCTGCTCCCCTCAGCAGTGTATTTCAGTGGTTCTGCCTGTTCTCCTCACTACTCTGTCTCTGGTGAATCCTCTCGCCACCCCTGTACCTCATTTCTGCATAAATAATGCTTTAAAAAAAAAAAAACATGGTTTCCCAGACTGATGTTAAAATTATTCCAGGAAGGAACTGTGTAGAATTTGTGGTGCTACAGTCAAGAAAGTCTTGTGCTTCTAAAACAAAGCACGCCTGTTATCAAGGGCCACTAACTCAGAGACACGAAGGGCTCAAGCTGCCAGCCCCACACCATTAAGACAGTGGACCGCTGTGTCCTCATCTATGGGTTTGCCGCAACTGCACTCGCTCTACACACCCTGTGCCCATTCTTTTATTAAAGTCCTGACAAAAGATAAAAGCTTTTTGATTTCTGGTACCAGGAACAGGATAGCGTTACCTTGCCACAAAAAAACATTATCCAGTCAACCAAATACATATCATAGTTGTCACTCCTTCCTGGGCTGTTTATGGGTGAATCGCTCAACTGGAAAGGAGACTAAACTATCTCTCATTGCTCATGAGGGGTTTTTCCCAGGTTATGGGATCTCAAAGGTTATGGGTTAGAACGGCAGACCTGATAGAAAATAATTTCATTAACCTGAAGCCTTTCCCCACCATCTAGTGGACAAACGCTGAGGGATGTTAAGAAAGCATGTCCTGGCCTCTGTCTTTTAAGCGGGTTCTCCCTCTGCCCTAGCCAGATGAGGGGTGTCCTGAGAACAGACAAAGAGGGGGAAAAAAAAAACATTCCCAAAGTTAAGGATAGGCTCTCAGCAGCAACGACTAGCAAGTGCTAATTAAGCGTCAGCATTAATCAAAAGCTATGGCTTCAGCAATTTTGAGGGCTCTCTCTTTTTACAGGTTTCTAACACTTTAAGATTATCTATCCATAAAGAATAATAAGAAAAACATAGCATGAAGAATGTCTTTATAAGGCTAGAAAGAAGTTGGTGGCAGCAATATTTATAGGTAGAATGTTTTAAAAAATATAAGTATCATTTGTAGGAAGATGTCTACATAAACTATACTGCCTCCACTGTGTGGAATTTATACAGTAGTTTTTAAATGAGCTCCATCTATATGTACTAATACAGGCATTTCTCCAAAACTCATTTTTTCTATCCAGGAAAGGTGAATTTTAATGCACTCTATGTACAATGATGTCACTTATTAAAAACACTTATTTTCCTATCACTTTATCCCACAATGAAATTCATGCAGCATGAGCCTTGTCCACTAACTCCAAGTGCCTGCACTGGTACTTGAACAGCGTTAACTTGTTTATCCCGCAAACACTTAGACTTCTCAGGCCTGTGAGAAACACTGACTGTGTCTTTTCAGATCTAACTTCCTATGTACCAGATTCAGGATTGATACTTAAAATTTGGTTTTCTCTTCATTTTAGTTTCTTGAAGCCATCTGCCTTCCATCTTCTTTTACTTTCTAGGTCTCTCCCTAGAGTTTGTTGAGGAAAAGTCCAGCAAACCACACAGGCAGACGGTACCATCGTCCACAAACCTCCCAGCTCCACAGCTGGCCACATTGTCCACCCAGAGCAGCCGTCTTGTAATGGAGAAGGAAAGGATGTGCTTTAATTCACCTCTTTTCAGTACACTCTCTGGACCCTTTTCTGACTCTCCTCCCCAGAGTCGTTTTGTCTAGATACAAACACCTCAAACAAAGCTGACTTAGTTGGTGACCCTGAAATCATTCTCAGTATACTCAGTTGACAGCGTGGCTCTTCCTTATCTGTCTTCCCACCCACCAAAAAAAAATTTAAGATAGGATTCAGCAACATTTGCAAAGTAAGACAGTAAGGTGGCTGGCACAGCATGCCAAGCCTGGCTTCCAGAACCAAAGTCCATGGGTTCAACAGTAAATACTGAATAGTACAAGTTTTCTAAAACTTGAACATAGAACATTCAAAAATGTTAGCTCTTCTTCTTGCTACAATGTCTTTATTGACAGGAAACAATAAAATGGAGCACAAGAGAAAAAATTTGGACTTTACCATCCAGGCTGTGAACTGAAAATACCATTTCCCATTAAAAGTAGCCAAGACTCCATAGAGGAATGGCTGGTTGCAGCTATTGACAGGAAAGGCACGGAAGATGTTCCTGGGACCTGGTGTTATTCCTGAAACCATAAAAGCTATCCAAAAGCTTGTCCTTCATGAAAAATGAAGATGAGAGCCACTTGGAAGTGGTTCCGAATGGAATTACATGAATGTGTGTGAGTGTGTACGTGTGTGTGTGTGTACGTGTGTGTGAGAAAGAGACTATAATGGAGGCTGTATTATGTATACATATACACACTTATGTATCCCACATATGAGTTCAGAATTTGAAATTATACTTCTGACAGCAACCACTACCACCATTGTAATCACAGCCACCTAAAATTTTGCTAAGGTACTCAACTTATTCTGAAAGTTGACAAATAAAAACAAATACTGGCCACATATTTGCTGTGATAAGGTGAAATAGTCCTATAGTCTATAGGAAAAAGTCATAGATCAAAAGTAAAGTGAAAATTAGAGAATCTCCCTTTGGCAATCGCTAATGAAATAGCAGATTCAAGGGATAATCTCTCACAGCTAAACAACGGGTAGAGAGCTGATGGGCGACGCCTTGATAGGAGTGACTGGGGACAGCCCCTGGAACCAACTGATCGATCTCAAATCACAAAAAAGAAATAAGCTGGCATCATGCTTCTTTGAAAAGAGTCCATTAAAAACACACAACACCTATGTACTCTGTTTGCCAGAAAATTAAACCTGAATCTAAATATTATTTTACATGAAATACAGACAAGAAGGGAAGCCATTGGAAAAAATCAAGAGAAGACAGTCAACCAAGCTAAAAATAGGGGAAATTTGGCAGGTAACGGAACCTAATTTAGTTAATGAAACAAACGGAATGGGAAGACAGCCAATCATTTACAGGTTGTAAGAGATTTAAAGTGTAATCCCCAAAAAGGCAGCCGTGGATCACAGGGCCTCAATTTGAGAAATTACTAAAAAGACATAAACAAAAAAATTTGAGGAGTCATTCATTTTAATCACTGAGATAATGGTGCATGGGAAACACAGTGGGCCACGGTGATGGACTGGGGGTGCTCTGGTGGGTGACACTATCCAAGGTGGGTACCCTAGATATCCCAAATCCAAGCAATGTGACCTCAATTTAAAAATGGTTAAATAACGTATTAGAAGGGAAACCAAAATGCTCTTAGAGAAGTAGAATAAAAATGGTTTTAGAGTAAATGATAGTCTAAGATTTGCTTTAAAATACTCTAGCAAAGGAAGCCAGGGGATACTTCCACTTCCAAGAAGAGGGAGAGGGTGGGCTGGACCAGGAGGAAGTGAGCGTGGCCACGAGCCAGAAGCTGAGAGACTCCTGGGAGGGGAAGGGCCTCTTCCATGTCTGGATCCAACCAGCGGCAACAGCCCGGGCGTGGTACAGTACAGGGAACAGGCACATCTCGCTCACCCAGCAGCAGCGAGGCTGTTCCACACCAGCCTGGACAGCGCAGCCTACTGCTTGCCAGGACTACACCCAGGGACCGCCTGCGCATCCGTGGCCTGGTGATGGACTTGTCCTCACAGGGAGTGTGAATGTACTGAAAGGTGGTACCCTGGGGACAGCTTCGTGAAGACGACCTGGAACCTTCTGTCCTACTGCGTACAACTCCTTGTGAATCTCAAAATCAGAAAATTTTAATGACAAGGAAAATGATGCACGGTGTTTGGGGCGGGGCAGATGGAACAGGCTGGCAGGAAAGTACATGGCTATGGATGAGTTCATTACAATCGTTCGCTCTCTTCACTGTGTAAACATCACCATGGTAAAGTTCTTTTAAATGAAGCGTATGGGACCTGCAAAGCGGTCCCATGTTTAGATTTTCCTAGTCTATCGCCAGGCTTTGCGAAGTTCCATACCACTAGGTTGTCCTACACATTCTTGCTAGTTGTTTCCTATGAAAACACTATTGTCAATTGCTTCTTTGCTAAAAAGAATGAAGTTCACCTGTGTGGACAATCTTCCCGGCAGTCAGACCTGAGTCACCAAACACCCATCTCTTCCACCTCTCCACACCCACCCTCCACCTCAAACTAGCCCAGGCAACACAGATATATAATTTCACACCTAGTGCCCTTCTGTGCCAGCCTCCTGCCCACTATTTCCTCTCTTCTCCATCGCTGTAAACCTTGCCCATCTGTTAAAGGCAAAATCAGGGCCTCCCTGGTGGCCTAGGGGTTAAGTCTCAGCACTATCACCACTATGGCTTGAGTTCAATCCCCAATCAGGGAGGTGGTCCATATGGCACAGCAGACCTCTCCTGTCTCACCTGCTGCTCCCCTCAGCAGAGTGTTTCAGTGGACCTGCCTGTTCCGCTTCCCACTCTGTCACTGGGAATTCTCTCACCCCTCCCCACCTGCAACTCTGGCCTACAACCCAGTTCTTCTATGCAAAAACAAAAAAAGGCCCAATAAAGCCATCTCCTTCATGAAGCATCCCTGATCTTTCCTACAGCTCTTCAGAGCAAAGACACAATGCCTAGTACCTTCCTGGTCCCACTGAAGTCCTGTTGATTTAACCAAATGAATGTTTGACATAAAGTTGATGGTGAACTACCAAATTTCAAAGAGAAAACAAAGTAGCAGAAATGTTAGATTTAGAAAATGACTACACTGAAAAATCAGTGCGCTTGAGTTTCTGAGGCACGACTAACTATATTTAGCTTGCTCTGACACCCGGGGCAAACGCATGTAACTTTTCATGGCTTTTGCCTCTAAAAGGGAAAGAGAAAGTCGGAGACAGAGCTGTCCTGCTTAAATGTGCAGATACTGTACCTGCCTCTGCTGAAGACCTCCCAAGGGTTATAACATGGATTATAACTTGCAAAGCTCATTCCTAAGCATCATTTATCAACAAAGGCAACACTTTATATAAAATACACAAAGCAAAACCACAGCCCAGATCCAGCTCTCTAAGCAAAACTGAGACAGTGAGAATAAGTCACATGGAGACTTTGAGACCATGTGAAGTAGGGCTGTCATGCCCCTAAAGCTAAGATTTCCTGAGGCCCCTACTACCTAGAGGTATAATTACCTAGAGAGGTATAATTAGCTCCCTATAGCACTAAAAGTCGGCCATCCCATGACATGGAACTAAGATGGACTGTACAAAGGTAAACATTGTCTATCAAAGACTATGACGTTGATGGTCAAACTACCGAAGCTCACCGGAATTTTGCAGCAGTCTCTAGGGTAGGGTCTACACTAAGGATTGAACACGGAATGAGAGTAAGAGTTAGAAGGATAAACTCCACTTTGCCTTCAGAAGAGAGTGCTGCTGTCTAACAGGCCTTGTGCAGTTACAAAGGCCATGGCCTACAGATGGTCACTGAGGCTGGAGATGACCAATCCCAAACTACCCCTGGAGCCTGCCCTGTCCCCGCCCCCACTTTCTGCTCCTAAGGAGTGCTGAAGCTGCAGAGGAGGCTGTTGGTAAGAATCTGCTGTAGCCACCCTGGTGGTAGCTGGAACTCCAGAGAGCTCCCTTCAACGAGAATGTCATTAGCACACGGAGGGGAGGCAAGCTTCCTGCTGTGGAACTGTGATTCCTTTAGGAAGTGGAGGTTGGTTCCATGAGAGAGCCCAACACAGGAAAGGGGTGGGCTAATGGGGTGAACCAGGGCAGCTAAGCAGGGGACCCCGTGGGGAGGAGTGAGCGGAGATCATAGGAACCCAAAGACTAGTCAGGGGAGAAAAGCAAGAAGCGGCAGTTACTGTTCCTCTGCACTGGCTCAGCAGCACCAGGGGCCCGGCAGTTACCTGAGGCTTCTTCACCTTAATGATCCAGGTGGGCGGGACAATAACAGCAGCGTGGGCCCCCAGGGAGCAGGGTTCCTCGATGTGATGCAACATGAAGCAGGTCACCTTATTGTGAAACTGGAGAGAGAGAAGCCGATGGACAATTCTGAGGACAGCCCCTGCTGCAGCAAGAAGGAGTGTGTGCACACACGCACGCACAAGCGTGCACACGCAGCCCATGGAACACTCATGTGCACACATGTGCACACCCTGAGCCGGTGCCCCAGCGCGCAACCATCCCCGGGAGCAGAAAGCCCCCCATTTCAAATTCACGCGACTTTACAAACTGAGACAGTCGATGGCAAGAAATCAACCTTGTAAGACGAGGGCGCAGCTACGACGTGATGACCTTAGGACGTTTACCAAAAGGCGGGTGCACTTGGAGGCCTCGCAGGCCCCTCGCAGGCCTTGCTTCTCATGTAAATTCGTCTCACCTGATCTGCACTGGTCACAGAGCCCGGTGCTTGGGGATAATGTCGAGAAGGAAATGAAAGACTAGCAGATTCTACTGCTGCTTGTTCTAGCCACAGATGCAAATCCTTTCGAGAAGGCCCTTGGGGTCAGAGGACCCAGGGGCAAAGGCAAGGTTTCCCTTCTGAAGAATGTTCATCCAAAAGGTAAGAAGCACAGAGAGATTGCTTCTGCTGGGTTTGTCTGGGGCCATTCAAAAATATAATGGCCCAATTAATGTGGCGAGTCTAAAGTGCTTTTTCAATTAATGCGGAGCAGTAATTCTGCCTACCAGGGGCTCAATTCTATACCCAGGCTGTGATGGGCAGTTGGGGTGACATTAGGCCAGTCACATTTTCAATCACCATCTTCTGTATGGCTGTAAAATGACAATGATGAGCGGTGACATTTGTTTTCTAATTAAAAAAAAAATCCACATTACACAATAACTATGAATTAAAATTTTAATCAGTGAATTTTTTTAAGTTTAATATCAGTTTCTACTTGGATTATACTTGATGTCACCGCATCATTTATCACCTTAACTGGAACAATTTAAAAAGTGAAAGAGATCACTGGTAATTATGTTGGAACAACAGATATAAATTAGGACTGTCTTGAAGAAACTAGTAAATATGGTCACCCTAATTATATCACATCAGAGAGATTCTGTCTTCGTTTCTGTGTATCTTCTAAGATCTGACACGATACAGTGACTACTCACTAATTAAACATAAACACTAATAAAATATTAATTCATCCGACACTAGTTTTTGTGACCTGCAAAAAGCCTGATAAACCACAGAAATGTTACTTGACTACCTCCTTTGAGAACTGGTTTTTAGCTGTTCACATAAACTACCAAGTGGATGGTCACTGCATTTCAAAAAAGTGGTATGGTTTTCACAGAATTCCCATTTCAACTTTCTCAATTCCTGTCTGAATAACCAATCTAGAGGACAGATAAGTCCAAACTACACCACTTGTGGGTGGTGGAGTCAGAACCTGAGCCCAGGAAACCCAGCGCCCAGTCTTCATTTCTCTTGCCCCACAGAGGGCCTCTTAGTCCTCTGGCATCTGACATCCCAGAAGGTGTTACCAGTATTAACATCAGTCGCTGCTGCCATTTGTCTACAAAAACTTTGTTTGTTCACTGCTTGCAAAATTACCTTCTCCAACGTGGGATGCTGACTCAAAGACAAGTGGAATTGCCGGAAGCCCAAGAGCAATGTCAAGTGAAGCACAGTCTTTGTGGTAGTGGGGAACAGATTGGTGAAAAGAGCACATGGGTTCCCCGTAAAGTGAGACTGAGTTTCCCAATTCAGTGATCCAGACAAGCCATCTCGCCACACCCCGGTGGCTACATGCTTGGGCAGGTCCTGCCTGCTGCCCCACTGCCGAGGATGCTGCCCAGGGATGGGAGTGGGGCGCTCGCAGGCGGGGGGATCAGTAACAAGGACAGTGTTGGGAGCACTAGGGTCTGCTGCTCCCCCTCCCAGGGGACACACTGCCTTCACGATGTGACGTTTTGTTCAAGGACTAGGGTTGCGGACATACTCCTGAGCAGATGCATATGGATTATTTGTGCAACAGTAAACTGAAAAGAAATAGAAATGTCCCAAATAAGACACGTGGAAGGTCAGTGTCCAGCCTGAGTGTTGCAGACCAGCGTGGCCCGTGTGGCGATGGTGTGTTCCCTGACATGAGGGGCACAGGGAGGTTATGCTGGAGGGATTAGTAGGTTCAGTTTAAGGAAATGCCAAAACACAAAAGTTTTGGGCCCTTAAATGTGTCCTGTTATGCGTTTCAACTGAGTACCTCTGTTCTTGCCTGTGGAATGGCACAGCTATTAAATCGGAAGCGTGCAGAGATGGAAGACTCCCTGCAACCCCTGACCTCGCTGAAACACCACGCCCTGATCTTCAAGACTATGTGTCTCAGCACATAAGTCACTCAGGAGAGCAAGTGGGTTGAGAAATTAAAGTATCCACATCCTTTATCCATAAATATTTCAGTCCTGTTGAACTATTCAACTCTGTCATGACAGCGTGAAAACAGTCGCTGACAATACAGAAAAATGGACAGAGTTCATCTCTAAAAAAAAAAAAATTTACAAAAGTTCGCAGTGGTCAGGTTGGACAACAGGTAAGTAGTTTTCCAGCCCAGGAATTAAAGTTTATACTGGTGAAACAAACAACAGGCAAATTGACAAATAGCTTTAAAAAAAAAAAAAAAAAGTAGCATCTGACTGTGGCAGAAATGCTAAAAAAAAAAACTGAAATAAAGGATAAAAGAGAGGAAAGTAAGTGGGAGGATCACCACTGGCTCCTGACGACTATGTCCGATCAAATGTACATACACTGCAACACACTGTAATGAGCACAGAGACAATGAAACACTACTGAGATGAAAGGATCCAGAATCACTCCTCTTCTCCTAACATGGCCCCGTTAAAAAAAAAAGAAACAAAGGAAAAAGTCGCCCACTTCAAAAACAGGGGAACCAAGAGGCTTGGACTCCGTGTTAGAGGTATTATCTACGGTTGCAAATTACTTTTCCTCACTTTGCAATCTCCTACTGTAAGGATACTCAACAGCCTAGGTGGTGGGGGGCGGGGAGTCAGAGAACCGGGACTGGAACCAGGCCTGTCCCCAGCCCCCAACCCCAGGACTCCATGTACATAAATGAGAGGGGTGTTTATCTCTAGAGCTTCTCCCAGCTCGTATATGCTCTAGTTTTCATCTTTCTTCTTCCAATGATCCTATAAGTGAGAAATAACAGGTTAAATGAGGCAAACTTCCAACCACAGGCAGGAACTCAGGCAATGACATCTGTTTGGAGAGACGGGGCCCCTAACTTACCGCCTGCTTGCACCAGGAGCAGCTGATAGCCACAATCTCTTTACTGTGGAAGGAGAATTTTTGCTGGAAGCCCTGTGATGTTAGACAAGAGAGAGAATGTAAAGCCACTTCAATCATAGCGCGCCTTTGCCCTCCTCAGCTGCGGTGACGTAAATCAGGCCAGAACGTCACCACTACTTGGGGAATGGGGCCCCTGTGTCAGCTCCAGTACTGACATTCTCTGCCCTCTACCCTGCAGGAGTTTGCTGTTCCTGAGTCATCCAGAGTGTGAGAGGCAACAGCCATGTCAGCTGTTCTACCAGTGACTCACCAGTGGTCAGCCACAAAAAGTATTTTCCCCCAAAATACATGGGGTTCTAACATGTTTTTATTATAAGCCCAAAAGGCCCGTTATTTGATCACATGGTTCCAGAAGACGGTGGTCAGTCAGAGGTTCTAGACAGCTTTAGCACGTGAGGAATTTAGTATCAGAGGCAGAAACTAAAAGTCGGGGTCTGGAAGAAAACCAAGGTAGGGTACGTACTTCAAATACTTCCGTCCTCCCCTGGGGGTGTCAGGACACAAAATCAGCAGGTTTCAATGTTTGTTCTTTTTTTTTTTTTTAATTCCTCACAACAAGCAGCAATGAGATTAATGGAATGCCAAACACAATCCTCTTAAATGAATAAACAGAATTACTTTTCCGTCAAGAATTGGAAGAGCTGCTTTTTGGCTGTGCTGTCCCTAAATAACTTAGAGACAGAGAATGCAGTAATGTTCAAAGACTTTTTTTTAGCCTTCCCAAAGTTCACCCACTTCTATCTGCCTGTGAAATTTAAACTCAAATTCAGCCATTGACAAAACATTTCAGAACAGGGTTTTCTGTGAAGTGATCAAAGATAGAAAGTTCTGATTGGCAGGAAAGCTATTTAAAGCACTGGCTGACGGAGTCTTGCTTAATCATGACTTTCACTTAAAACACCTTCTTTTGTTTTTTAAAGATTCATTAATTTATGCTTACAGAACTGGGGTACAGGCCAGAGGTGTGGTGGGTGAGAGGATTCACCAGAGACAGAGTGGGGAGCAGAACAGGCAGGTCAACGAAGTACACTGCTGAGGGGAGCAGCGGGCGGGTCAGGAGAGGTCTGCCACGCCATGTGGGTCAGCTCCCTGACGAGGGATGGAACTCGTGCTGCTGTGGCTTCAGAGAGCTTCATAATGTGGTGCTTTAACCCACTGAGCCACCAGGGAGGGCCCTTCAAACACATTCTTAACAAGAAGGGCCAACGGCATTTTGGGCAGGCCTCATCACCCACACCTGTGTAGCATTTTGCTCTGCAGCTTTTGAACCTTTTTGCATCTGTAAACTCTTGTCTGTGTTTCCTAAACCTCACCCAGCACTCCAGCCTCCTGCCTGTGGCTCAGAGACCAGCCGGCTTTCTGTTCACCTTGTGCCCCAACATCCCCTTGAGAAACATGGCTTCTTGTTAATATCAGACTCTCCTGCATTTGGGGAAATTTCTCCTTCCATTTCCCTTTCTCAGCAACTTACGTGACAGCATCATTGTTCTGGGTGACGGGGCAAACGAGCTAAGCCCGACACGCCATCCTTACGAGGGTGCCGGCACACTCTGGCCTGGGTTTCAGGAGAGGGTTCTTCAATTCCCAACAGGAGAGAGGGCCTACCTGTGCCTAACTTGATCATGCAAACAACATGGCTTATGAAGGGCGTCTGCTCCCCTTCAGGGAGTATGAAGTTGGGGTAAGCGCTCTGCAGCAAGTGCTTACGTAAGAGCCTGCAGATGAAACACTGGCGCTGAGACCCTGGGGGGCCTGACACGGCCGCACATGTGTCTCGTGCCTCATGTGCTGGGGCGGCGCCACTGGACACATCTGTGCCCTCTGCTGGCCTATTCACTCTCCTCATGTCCTCCAGACTCCGCCCCGTGTCCCTGCCCCTTGGCTGACTTAGCCCTGAACCCCTTTATTGTAACAGAGCAGCATTGAAAGCTATAAGTCTGCTCCGGAAATCATCACTTGCAGTGGTCTTGGGGCCTCAAACACACTCTTCTCCCCCCCGCCCCCGGTTCGAGTCTTGCTCAGCCTCTTATGTCAACGACAATGTCCTTCCCCCAGGAAAGGAAGCAGTGATGGCAAAGCACACAGGGACGAAGCTCTGGGCCAGTGATGTCAGGGTTTGCACTATGGTGAAAACAACCGCCCCATACACACACCCACACCTGAGACAGAGCAGCTGGCAGAGAGGCACACAGCCCGTGGCCACGGGGCAGGTGTGCACATCTTTCAACGCTGCACAAGTGACTCAGGGGTAACGAGAAGACACCAATCTGTGGGACTGACAGCACCCCGGAATCTCTGAAATAACCCTCCATCATCTCTCAAGCTGCTCCTGATAAATTGGGCAGGAGGAGAGATGAGGAGACTTCTCCTGACGGCCACAGGCCTCTCTGTGACTACTGAGAAGAAAGAGGCCAGCTGCCAGGAAGAAGCCAGAGCTGGCATGAGGCTTGGGGACTCCTGAGGGGGACTTTGGCTGGTTCTCCCTGCCCTCCACCCCACCAGCCCGCACATCCCACCAGATACAGCTCCTGTTGATGGGTCACTTCAGAAGGCTGACAAAAGTCAGCCTTCTGACTTTTTCCCTAAAAAGCCTACTTCCTGCCGTCTTCATTCTATCCTGGATGCTGCCATTAGCAAAATGCTGCTTTTAAAATATCAGCCTCCACCTGAAACCACTCAAGTGACTACTTCTTAAGGTTACAGCATAAACAATTCACGCTGACATTCAGGGCCATCCATAATCTCGGGCAATTTTCGTACATCAATTACCCACTATTATAAACTCACTGTTATAAATGCCTGTCTGAGTCAAATGGGCTTCATTATATTCTACAATATGCTCTAGTCCTTTATATTTCCTCCATTTTCTTTTGACCTATGCTGTCTCCCCATCTCAGCCCTGTACCCAGAATGCCTCCCGCTACGTCACATTCAGCTGCTGAACTTTATTTCCAGTACAAAAGCTAATAGCTTTCCGAGATCATCATGGTTCACTGTTTTCTCTCTCCCTAAATTGCAGACCCTCTCAGCTCCACTTCCTTCGGCATTAATGAACAACTGTCCTAAGTCACTGGTTATTTTATGTGCAGGTACGTTCTCTCTCCTACAGATAAGCGATTTGAGGGCAGCCTTAACAATATTCAATAGGTCCCCCAACTTAGCATCGTTCCTTGAACATCATACACAGAACATGACTATGTTCCGACTAACTGACTGCGTCACCACCACCACACCGTGATCCAGTTATGAACTCTATGCTCTCCAGACTTGACACACCTAAGCCAAACCACATGGAAACTTGCTTTCTCACTCCCCCCTCCTCCAACCTCTGTGGCACCACAAACACACCAGGGTTTCATTTTAATTCTTAAGCTTGCAACACAGACATGCCGCAGGCCTGGACATCCATCTGGTGGAACTGGAGGCCCGAGAGCAGCAGGAGCCCCAGCAGAGGAGTTCTGGATGTCGTTCTAGCAACTAGAATGACAACTGTGTTGTTAAACAGAGTCGTAAATACCGTTACCCAGGCACCATTCCATCAGTTTGCACATCAGATGGTTGCATGGCTTCAAATAGAAGCTGATGGAAAGACAGCAACGATGAGAATAGTTCCCAGTTCATCATCTTCTTTTCTGTGTGATGCATTTCTATCTGCCTGTGAAATCTAAATCCAGATAAACTAACACAGGGCAATAACAACAAAATAACTTAGAACAGGCCAATTGGGTGTATGAACCCACCTTCTACTGAATATGGACCTTCTGGCTTCAAGGACAAAGAGACATGGTCCACTCTCATCCAGCAGGCGAAACCATCAGGCTGTTGCCTCAGCGCTCACATGACACTGTGGTGGGTGCCTGGGGGGATGAGCCTGCTGGTTATCTGCTCAGGGTTTGTTTTGGCGTCTAGACTGGCTGAATCTTAGCAGCCACAGCTTCAGACTTATTGTCTAACATAGACATAAATAGAACCACATTTGGGCCTTGGTGGACCAAGTTCCCACAGACCACCTGCAACAGGGAGAGATTTTGGCCAGGATCTCAGCGCAGCAAAAAGAGCCAATTCCTAATTACCCATTTTTAAATGCTGGCCCAAATCTGCTATTATGGTCCTGACAGATGCCCTGAAAGGATCTAACTGACTCTATGGCTACTTAAGCGTTATTTTGCTCATCCGTATCAAAGAGGGATGTGAGGTCAGATGCTTTGGAACAAGCTGACTTCAGGATTACAGAGACAAAGAACCTTGAGGGATAGGTCGTCTTCTTTTCTTTTGGTCCTTTGAGTTTTTAATCAAATTCAGCCCTTGGAATAAACTTGAAAGAACATATATTCTGCGCGGCTCGAGCTTTGTTGCCACCGTCTCTTCTGCCATCTAGGACAAATACCAAATGACCCTGGGCATCACAGCCTTGGTTGAAACCAGAGAAAAGGCTTCACTCGAAACAGATAGAAACTGCCTTTTGTGTACATATTTCACTGAGGTTTCAGTCTCCACCTGAGCCGAGCTAATTTGACTTGATTTGATCCAACACTAGACTCGGTACCATCCCCGCCTCCAAAACCTTAAACGATAAAAACAAAGTCAACCCTTCCAGTTCCACTCCAGGGTCAGCCTCTAGGTCCAAGAAGTGCAAGAAGCAACCCCGAGGAAACATAGAATAAGACTCAATCAGTATCTACCTGGAGAAAGAAAATGTCAAATGTTTTCGCACAAATCCTACCATTTTGGAAAAATACCTCGATGCCCTTTTACACATTTTAGATTGAATGTCTAAAATGTTTGCCCAAAGATTAGATGCAAAGTATATTATTTCTAGCAAAATAAAGTTGAAATTAAAAAATAAACTGTTACACCCTTTTGAAAAGACAGGTTTATTAGGAGAGACAGAGCGCGCAGGTCCTGCATGGTCAGGGCAGGAGGGACAACTCCATAGCACGTTGGCCAGTGGCCTATAAATAGCACGGTAGCTTGAGACTCGCTCATGTAAAAGGAAATCTGTCTACTCAGGG